GAAAGTGCAGCTGGTCTAAGGTCCGACGGGCGACATAGGGAGGAGTCGTGAGTAGGTGAGCTGTGTAGGATATTGTCTAGGGTGCGGGAGGGTGTACATGAAGTATCGGAAATTCGGGGCAAGCGAGTAAGTATCATGTGAGCATCGTAATTCAACAGACGAGGTTGGTCGTGGGGTGGTGGCCCCGGCAGCCCGGCCAGCCCCTCGGCCACACGCCCCCCGATGTTCCAAGAGCCCTGTATCATGTGTATAGTACATGCAACGTCAGGGGCGGTCAGGCAGGAGCTTGCGGTGGTGCTGAGGTTAGCGCTGCTCAACAGGGCCATCAAGGGGAGCCGTGCGGCTCAGGGGGCAGGCCCCGCTGCCCACCACCCAGGAAACACAGGAGTAAAAACAGGAACAGGTAAACAGATAAACCAACCAGTAACAACAGTTATAACATGCCGCAAGGGGGCTTAAGTCAGCACATCAGGGCAGTCGTGGGTCCCTCTCCCCGCGTTGCGGCCTAGGTTGTGGGTCGAGGGAGCCGGTGGCACACTCAGGGTCCGATCCCCGACCCCCCCCCCTTGTGTCCAGAAGGTGTAGGGAGGTCGGACCCAATTACCAGGTCAAAGAAATAGGGGGAGCAAATAAATCAAAGCATATGCATCTCAAGTAAGATAGGGGGTATACTTATCCCACAATGGGCAGTTCTGTGGTAGAGGGCGTGATGGGATCTTCAGGGTGGGGTAGTGCCAGCTTGAGGGGCAATATGATGCGTGGGAGTCTCGAGCGTTGGGCAAGGCGAAGTCCATCGAACCATGTTGAGTGATGGGGCAGGTGTCGGGTAAATCGAGAGGTGATGCCTGGTGGGGTGTCAAAAATAGTGTTGGGCATCTGCTTGTGCTTGCCATGCGGGAGGAGAGTACCTGGGGAGTGCCAGCCGACGGCAGAACGCCAGCTTGAGGGGCAACAATGCCAACAGTAGGGGTGTGTAGCGTAGAGATATCAATGGAATCGACTCTCCCCACCAGCCGGCTCTTCAGGGGGGGGGGGGGGGGAGAGCC